CCCCCCCCGCACAGCGCCCCGCGTGCCCACCCCCAGCCCGTCCCGAGGCCCGGGCGGGAGCGGGCAAGCCGGGGCAGTGAAGCGAAACAAACTAAACCGCCCCAGTTTAGCTCCCGAACGGCCCCGGCCCGGATCCGGGGCAAACGGGGGAGGCTGGTTTCCAAACCCGCCAGCCGACACCGGTTGCCCTCGCCCTGAATCCGCCTCCCTGGGCCTGTGCTTTGAGCTAGGAAAGGGATGGGATTGGTGGGGGGCAGTTGAATAATGGCCATTTCGGCTGAGCTGCACGCGTGCAAACCCACGGGCACGCCGATTCCCGGCGGACTCGGAAACGGAGCCATCCGTGGACTGATGCGTGTTGTCAACTCTCCAAGCACAGATTTGCTCGAGGTTTCGTGGCCCCATTTACACATGCTCACTGCACCGCCTTCACCGCTGAGGAGCCCAGGGTGCGTTTCTCTTTGCCCTGGGCACAGATCCGAGTCAGAAACCTGTGCATCCGCTGCTTCTCGTTTCTTTTTGTTTGGGTTTTTTAAAAAAAAAAAAAAGATTTGGGGTTTTTTTCGTGCGTGTGCGGGTGCGCTGACTCTGTGGGATCGGAGGAGTCTGCCTTGAAACTACCTGCGGTCAGAAACCTGCCCTGGGAGACATTGACTAAAGCAGGAGAGGTAACGCAATGCCCCCTTTCGCCATCCCACGAGCGAATTCTTTGAATCTAAACATTTTTTTTTTAAATGCTGCAAAATAAAATCTACAGAGAAATAAAGGACGCGGCGGAGATTGAGCCAGGCGCTTGGCATCTCTGGCTGTCGCGATGGCCATTTTTTCCTAAGTGATTTTTTTCAAAGTGGATCTAAATGAAAAATCTTTAGCCTTCCCCCTGCTTATAATCCCCCTCTCCCCAATTGCTCACACTTCAATTAAAACGCGAGTCAAATACGAAGCACCTCTCTTTAATCGTTATTTTTGTACTTTGCAGCTAGCCCTCTTTCGCTAGTTTTTTCACACACCTCTTACTCTCCACCGAGACGCGTGTCTCAACTAGCATTTCTGATCTATTTTTCCTATTCAATTCCAGTACTTGAATTTGCCATGGTAAAACAAAAACAAAAAAAAAGAAAGAAAAAAAAGGACTGTTGTATTTAGCTAGTGGGTTTGGGGTTTTTTGTTTTTTTGTTTTTAAAGTTTCTTTTCTTTCTTTAAACGTTAACAGACGGCGTTTACAAACGGTATAAATACGTGCCACCAAACTTTAACCAAAAAAAAAAAAAAAAAAAAAAGAGAGAGAGAAAAACTTTATAAAAAAGTGGAATGGTTGCTGTAGTGTGTAGACTTCATGCTAGGCCAGGACCGAGGGACAGGAAACGAAATAGTAATTTTATTGTAAATTATTCACGTCTGAAGTTTCTAGGCAAGTAGTGGAGAAAATAACGAGCGACTCCAGCGCTGAGCCCGTGCTACTAACTTTTGTTCTGAATGTTTTGGGTGTTTTGTATTTATGTGGTGAGAGTGAAATATATTATATCTATATGACGACAGAATTAGGTGTATTTTCGTCTTGTATTTAATAATCCTCTGATGTGGACGAGGCAAAATGTCAAAACAACACACACACACACACTCACACACACACACCGCGCGTAGCTGATCTGCAGTCCGTGGTTGCCTCTCTGGGTGCCGTGTCGCGGCCGGTGGGGACGCTTGGGGAGTCGGGATCAAGCAGCCGGCTTGCGGGAGCCAAGCAGCGGTCTCGCAGGGTTGCATTAGCGGGATTCAATTGCTCGCAGCGCGGCCGACCAGTATGGCGGGCCGGGGCGAGCCGCCCCGGGGCATCCGCGGAGCCCTGTCCCGGCGGAGCGAGGCAGGGAGACGGCGGTGCTGCGCCCAGGGGCTCCGAGCTGGGCAGCCCTGCCCCCGCGGGCCTGATCCTGCACGGGGTGGGCACGTCTGGCTGTCTGAAGCAGCCCGGCTGCGGCCGCAGATGGAAAATAAGCGGTTTTCCGCCCGGGCTAAACGCTCGCCAGCTCGGGCCGCAGGTGCCGGCTTCCCGCAGGACCCTGGCGGAGTTCAAGCAAGAACAAACCACCGCCCCAAAACCTGTGGCTTGCTCCGGATCTCCCCACCCACGGGGTGGGCCGAGCCCCCGCTCCAGGCTCAGGACTCACCTGTGCTAGTTACCGGGCAGCCCATTAAGGCCACGTTTTTATTGCTGAAGCCGGGCTTTGGTCTCCGTCCCGTCTGCGCAGCCCCTTCCCGCAGCTGCTGGAGAGCGCTTTGCATCTCGGTGAAGGTTTGCTTTGGGGGGGCTCGTTGCAAACGGCGGCAGCCCTGGCAAAGGGCACCTGCCTCTTTTGTTTCTTCTTGTTTTTTTTTTAACCAAAAAAAAAAAAAGAAGAAAGAAAATCAGACTCTGGGGCTCGCTGCCTAGAGCAGCTCCCGCCTCGAAGCGGCAACCGGGAGCCCGGGCGGGAGGAAGCGTGGCCAGGGGCTGCCCGCACCTCCCTGCCGCAGCATGTGCGGTGGCCCCCGACAGGACCTGCAAAACCCCCAAATATGCCCCCAGAGTGTGCAGACGGCCCCGGCAGGCTGGGGGCGAGGGGGCTGCGCAGAGGCCGGATTTGGGAGGCTGGGGGGAAGCGCCCTAGGGAGAGGCACCAGCCAAGACCAGATTCAAAAGAAACGAGGCGTCGCCGGATGCGGCGAAAGGGATATTTTTTTTGGGGGGGGGGGTTTGCTTGTTTGTTTTATCCCCCGACAGGAGCAAAAGGAAGTTTCGATTTGGGGGGCTCCTGGTGGTCCCCTCCCCCGCCCGGGGCTGCGCACGAGGGCTGCTGGTTTCTTGCACAAAAGGACCGGCCCTGCTGTCACCCCCCCGGCTCCTTCCAGCCATTGCAGCGGAGCAGCCCGGCCCCCAGGAGACTA